TGTTTGGCGGGTCCGGGCTGGGGATTCGAACCCGCCACCTTAGGTGTACGTGGCTGGCGCCTTAGCCGGTTGAGCTATAGGCGCCGAGCCAACCAACAGATTTTTAATAATAGTTACTAGTTATGAACAGTAATACATCTAGTTACATGTTTAATACCACAGTGCCAATCCACAGTTAGTTTACTATATAAAAAGTATGTCCCCCTTATTGTACTCTTACTTCAAGCTTTTCTTTTCTTTTCTTTTCTTTTTTTGAGACAGAGCCTCAAGCTGTTACCCTGGGTAGAGTAGAGTGCTGTGGAATCACAGCTCACAGCAACCTCCAACTCCTGGGCTCAAGCGAATCTCTTGCCTCTGCCTCCTAAGTAGCTGGGACCACAGGCGCCTGGCACAACGCCCGGCTATTTTTTGGTTGCAGCCGTCGTTGTTTGGCGGGGCGGGCTGGATTCGAACCCGCCACCTTAGGTGTATGTGGCTGGCACTTTAGCCACTTGAGCCACAGGCACCAAGCCACTTCAAGCTTTTCAAAATCATTTGGACTATGGTATAAACCTCTAACTATATGCTTTTCCTGCTTTGATGTTTGTGACTTAGCTAATTTAGTAATAAAAATTTAATCAAACATGGTAGTGTAGATGTTTACATTCTATCTCCCACCAAAAAGTAAAAAGTCAATGTCACTTGACAGTAGTGGCAATTCGAAAATTAAAATAAAAAGGTTATCCAGGTATAATGTGGATGCATTTCCCATGAATAGATTTCAAACCAAGGTCTTACCAACTATAAGCCCATATTTTTAGTCATTATGAAGCTGTGTAATTTGTTATCTGACTCTGGAGTGACTACCTGAGTGCCAATAGACATTTTCGGTCCTGTTCACCCTCTGCAATCCATTACAAGTCATACTTTACCACTCTGAAAAACACATTCTATGGCAGTGGTTCTCAACCTTCCTAATGCCACAGCCCTTAAATACAGTTCCTGTGGGTTGTGACACACAAGTTGAGAACTGCTGTTCTATGGTATATTTTCTTAGCCCTTGATGAAAATTTGGTGGGGCTAATGCATGTTGGCCCCTTTAGATAATTAAAGTTGAGACTTGTCTTACCTGCAATAATATTCATCTTGATTTTCCATTCCGCAGCTTTCTTTAGAACATGCTGAATATAAATAAAAGGTTATGTGCTGATTTTTTAAAAACTGCTTTTTACTAATATTTGAGATTAAGCTTTTTTCTTTTTGAGACAGGGTCTCACTTTGTCCCTCTGTAGAGTGTGGTCTCTTTAGAGTGCATCATAGCTCACAGCAACCTCAAACTCATAGGCTCAAGTGATCCTCTTGCCTCAGCCTCCCGAGTAGCTGGGACTACAGGCGCCTTACTGCCTGGCTGTTTTGTTTTGTTTTTTCTTTTTTTTTCTTTTTTTTTTTTTTGAGACAGAGCCTCAAGCTGTCCCCCTGGGTAGAGTGCTGTGGCATCACAGCTCACAGCAACCTCCAACTCCTGGGCTCAAGCGAGTCTCCTGCCTCCGCCTCCCAAGTAGCTGGGGCCACAGGCACCTGCCACAACACCTGGCTATTTTTTTTGGTTGCAGCTGTCGTTTGGCGGGCCCTGGCTGGATTTGAACCCGCCACCTTAGGTGTATGTGGCTGGCGCCTTAGCCACTTGAACCACAGGCGCTGAGCCTGCCTGGCTATTTTTTAGTGATGAGGTCTCACTCTTGGGCAGGCTGGTCTCAAACTCCTGAGCTCAGGTGATCCACCTGCTCTGGCCTCCCAGAGTGCTAGGATTACAGGCGTGAGCCATCATTTTAAGTTTTCAAACTTAAAATTTCATTAGAGCTGGGCAAGTGGCTCATGCTTGTAATTCTAGCACTCTGGGAGATGGGTGGACGGCCTGAGCTCACAGGTTCAAGACCATCCTGAGCCAGAGCAAGACCTTGCCTCTAAAAATATCCAGGCATTGTGGCAGGCCTGTAGTCTTAGCTACTCAGGATGAGGCAAAAGGATCGCTTGAACCCAAGATTATATAGTTGCTGTGAGCTTATGATGCTATGGCACTCTACCAAAGGCAACAATGTGAGATACTGTCTAAAAAAAAAAAAGTTTTTAATATATAGTATTTAACAGTCTGAACCAAATTACATAATTAGATCAAGTAACAAAAAGCTACTGTCATGTACCACCACCATACTGATGTTTTAGTCAACAGCAGACTGCATTATAAGAGAGCTGAAAAATACCTATTGCCTATTGACATCCTAACTGTCTTTTGATGCTAAAAAGAGCAGTGGCTGACACCTGTAATCGCTGACACCTGTAATCCTAGCACTCTGGGTGGCCAAGGCAGGAGGATCTCTTGAGTTTAGGAGTTTAAGACTAGCCTAAGGAGAAGAAGAGTAAAACCCCCTCTCTACTAAAAATAGAAAACTTGGCTTGGCGCCTGCCACGTACACCCAGGGTGGCAGGTTCGAGTCCAGCCCTGGCCTGCCAAGCAACAATGACGGCTGCAACCAAAAAATAGCCGGGCGTTGTGGCGGGCACCTGTGGTCCCAGCTACTTGGGAGGCTGAGGCAGGAGACTCGCCTGA